TTTCGATAATTAATATTTTCTAACTATTTAATCTGGCTTGTGGGTTATTTTTGTCAGTTGTTAAATAATAAAAAAATTTCTCGTTTTTCTTGGTGTTTTTCTCACGTTCTTCTCTGTATTTGTCAATTGGTTTCAGCCTACGGAATAATCACTATTCTGCCCCGCGTCACGATTAAGTTGATAGAGACAATCGTACGTATGATTTTCTTAATATATGATAGTTTCAGAGAATTATAAGTAAGATTCTCTTGTTATGCCAGTTAGGAGTTTATATCAGATCCACAACACAACTATTTAAAATTGGAACCTTGAGATATTATTCAATAGGGAGGAATATAATTTGTTGGAATGATACAGGTTTTAAAATAAATATTTATAAAAATATATTAAAACAAGAATTTTAATTTTCAAGATTTTTTTTTATATTATTTATTTAGAATCTCGTTATACAATGATATAGTGGATTTCAAAAAACAAATAATGAAAATATTTTTATAACTTGATAGATAGAGATGAAGCACTCCGAAACAAAGAAAGTTGATACCAATCATCAATCGACTTAAAATGTATTCTTATTGGATTGATGTCCGTCCAATAATTTGTTAGTTTAACACTTTGTCCTTTAAAAATGGCCTGAAATAAAGAAAAAAAAAAAGAAGCATTTTCCTAAAATTATAGTTTGATTAAATTGAGTATCGTCTAAGAAAAATTGGAATGGAAGGTTCGAGCTCCTTAGAGCAATGAACCCGATGACCCTTTTCCTATCACTCTTCTCTTACAAAATGAAAATACCCTTCGTATTAAAATATTATTTCAAGAAGTTTGACCAGTCCCATTCTTTTTTCTTTTTCATTTTATTTTAGGGACTCGTATTAAAATTATGTGTCGGTATACCTACCGTATGTTGCTTGCTTCCTCTTTCTATACGTATTGTGATAACTAATTATTCGGGAATCTAATTCAAGAAAAAAAAAAAAAAAAATGAGACCATAAATATCATTCTAGTTCCCAAGGAAAAGGCCAGATTCGCCCCCACGAGCTAGCCTCTTTAGACTTTATCTTTAAGAGATTCTTCATTTTTAAAAAGTATTTTCTACAATTTAGAGAGTACTTATAAATTTGGAAAGTAGAAATTTTGAAATATCCCGACAAACTCACTCTTTCTCTAAATTAAAATGTTAATTTAAAAAATCTATTGGAACATAATTTTAAATGTTTAACTCTTTAAAATAGAAAACATCTTATGTTTAAATAGCCTCTTGAATATGCTCTTAACTATTCTTCCCCATTGGGTTAATTGTATTCCTCAAATTTTATCGTCTGTGAAAAGCAGTTTATCTTAATAAAATTTCATTCATTTTGAATTCCAAAAAATATGAACTTAAAAATCTTTAAAAGCATCAATACATTACATTCCACGATAATTTTACCAAAAATGACCTCTCTCCCCCAAACACATTTTGCACAACAAAATCCAGTACATTACAAACCAATGTAGTTTGTCTTTCAAAGTCTTCATGGACCTAAGACTGAAAATTGATGATGTAACCAAGGTACCTGCAAGAAAGCGCATGTGATGACAATAAGTCATTTTTTCTTCCCGTTTTAGCCAGTTTTTATAGCCTTTTATTTTACAGGAAACATGCAAAATATGACCTCTGAGCAACCGGATAACAAATAGCAGTTCTCAAAATTGAAAAACTAAGTGCAAATATGAATTCATAGACTCGAACTTTCAGGAGCACAATCTTGGCACAGGAAAATACGTTAGATATCTCAACTTTGAACTTTCAGGTTTCAAAGCCAAGAATGCGTATAACAAGCTTGCGACAGCCGACCCTTTGAAAAACTAAGTGCTTGTTTGGTAGGGATTTTTCGGGG